CGACCATCTCAAAATTGTACCTTTCCATTTTTTTTTGTCGGCTTGTACCTTTCCATTTAATTTGTTTCTTGCTTAATTTAGTAACATTTCAATAATTCGATCACATGAAAAACTTAACAGCCGTAAAACCAATATTTACTCCATCACCATCACAATACCAATCACACGGCCTTTACGAGATCCAAATTAGTTTTTACATATTTTACCAAATTCATCCAATGATACTTCGTTATAAAACCATAACCATAATGTCCATCTTAAGATTTTTATTTAGTTAAAGCTGTCAATGACTTTTTATTTCTAATTCTACATATGGCTAATTTACAATACTGTTACATATGTATGTAGACTATATTGAATGCTTATATAAATATGGATCTTTTCATCTATAACCCGTTTATCTCCTTGAATTTATTGACTATAACATTTTATATTTTTTGGAATTTTTTTTAATAATATGAGAAATTTTGATAAATAGATCATCAAGGTAATGTGTGATAGTGGAGAGGGCAGGAGCATGTGGATAATGTAGAGTTGTTGGGGGACAATATTATAATGAATTCTAAATAAAATTTAATAATGTCTTCAATGTGTATCCTCCATTATTGATGCTTTACGTGGTGTCATCCATACCCTCAAGGCCTCAACAAACAATGGGTGACAATGATGATATTTGCTTTATTTATTTTTTCTAATGTCTTGGTAAATTTGATCTTACTATGTATTGATGCACCAATAAAAAATAGTAACTTGGTTATAAAAGAGGTTACAAGATCACAAATAGATATAAAATGAAGTCAACTAGACGAAATCAAATTTTGCTATAATATATGTAATTGTGACTTGTGAGTGAGTGGTTGAGGTTAGCGAGGAAATGCTGGCGAAGTTTCGCCAAAACTTTGTACCATAATAAACTTCAAGAGCTCTTATTGTGTGAATAATATTCGTATATACAAATATGAGCATATCAGCATCGTCACATGCATGGCTTTCATTCGAAAGAAAAATGAATTGCATATATATAAAGGTCATGTATACTGATATTATTATTTTATACATCGGCAATATCATAGTTTAAGCCATTGCGAGAAAACGGAGATTGGCAAAAGATTTGGGGGGCATTTGGCCCCTACCTATCTATCAGCCTGATCCTCTATGAAAAGAGTCATATTCACAACTGAAACTTTAATTTCCTAATTCCTCTCCAGAGGTTTTAATGGGCCTAATGAAAGGCTTAAGAAGAATTTATGGGCCAAATTAATATTTTAGGTTCCCCACCAAAAAGAGTAAGCCCAGCTAGTGAACAAACTCTTTCAATATTTTGTCTTGGGACC